TCGTCTGCTCTTCTGAAGCAAACAGCATGGGTGCGAACCGAATGTGCTCTGGTGCTACGTGGAGGTGCCACGGCAGCACCGGCTGCCTACAGTTCGTTGATATCGGATGTCGATTCCATCGCTCAGCAGCATGGTATGCCCAATTCATGTCGAAGTACTAGCTAATATTGCATTTTGGCTTCGGATATTTGAAGTTGAAATGTTAAAGTTTGAGACGCATCTTCCCATTGACTGGATTTGAATGTTCAGATAATCTACGTGCTTTTTCCATTGTCGCACGGGAACTGACAGCGTTCTGGTGCAGGATTTCTGATGCGAAGTTTGGTGGTAAGTCCAATTGTCAAAAAAATGTGTAGAGGCTTCTCCATATTTATGGATGCAGAAGTTTAGTTCAAAAAAGAAAGTCCTTCCAGAGGCTCTCGTAACTGCATGGAACGCTTACATTGAAGCCAATCCCGAATCCGCTCTTGTGCTTACATCTCTCAACACTTTGATTGGATCACTCAACGCCGATCAGTTGACTACAGCGTTGAAAGTTATGGAAAAGACAATTTGCGCATATTTCAACCGTGAGTGCTTATGTTCCTTCTTTCCTTCTTTTTCTGCCACTTACAACATCGGGTAGCTTCTATTTGAGAAATATTCTTTAGGGCATTCGACATCATGGACAACACTTATGCAGTGGGCACAATGTCCAAACAACTTAACTATAAACGTTCGAGATTATTTGTTAAGTGTTTCGGGGTATGCCTTTTCAATTTATCATTATATGGTCAATATTCTTGCTACTTTGCATTCATTAGCAGCAACAAAGCGCACCCGCTCATGCTTACTGCGGCATGGTTTTTGAGGTTCACATTACCGAGTGATGCTACAGCTTCAGCGCTTCACGCATTTGTCATCAGCATTAAGCCGAAGTAAAGTTTATCATGAGACAGCAGCTACTAGTTCATTCAAGCTTTGTTCTTAGGCATGTGTGGGACGAAGCGTCGTTTTTGCTCCTCATTTGGCAGGAAGTGCGATGGCTCGCGGATGCAGTACTGGCCGCTCACGCAAATCCGGG